CAGTGTATGTTTTCCAGATTCGGGCTTTTACTGCTGCTGGTTATGGAAATTACAGTCCCAGGCTTGATGTTGCCACTCTAGAGGAAGCTACAGGTAAAATGTTTGAAGGTAATTACCACCTTTGGATTGGATTTTTTTAATCTTCATAACTCTAGTTTTTTTTTTTTGGGGGGGGGTGATGATTTGGTTAAATATTGTTTTTTTTTTAATACGAAGTTAAAATATATGTGTACTTCGCAAAGTCTATTCAGAATAATAATTTGAAATTTGCTGCTTTGTTTTATAATGTTCGAAACTTGTGATTTAAATTCAGCTCTTTAATGCATACTGCATTTATTTTAAGAAGTTGAAATTAGAAACAGAAACAGCATTCTTTCAGTTTTGTGTTGCCACAGGCAGTTTTTGTAGATTTCTCTCTCCTCAGTGCCCCAGATGATCTTATTATACAAGTTGTATCAGTGAAACTGCTGCCTCACAACTCACTCTCCTGATCAGCAAAGTCAGAATGTACCCACAAGTTAGGCCAGAGAAAGATGTTATGTGAAAATTTGTAAATTTAAGCTACTTGCTCTTTAATAATGATATTACATATACAGGTTAAAAAAAACTGTATTTATTTTTATGTTTGATATCTTTTGCATTTTTTAAATATTTAGACCATAATGTAAGGCATGTTTGAAGTATATATAAAATATTGAGTGTAACTGAATTAATTATTCTTAATTTACTACCACTCTGAATTATATGCAGTGCTGTAAGCCAGTATTACTTCACTTCAATTACTAAAAAAAGTGGATCGTCACCAATATCTTGAATCACCTTTATCATTTTATGTTTTATGATGCAACTTTGGAAAGCAAGAAGAGCATGTGTATAAAGTATATCAAAAATAAGCAGATAAATCTTGGAATGTATGTCCCACTTTAATAGGGAAAAGTTGAGAATAGCTTGAGTACTAGTGCTGATTGTGTAGTTTTTTAAATTCTTCTGATATCATAGTTCATACACAAGATATACCAGCTCTTTTGTTACCTTTTCTTTGCTAACCTAGGTTTCTCAAAAACTTCTTTTAAAATAAAAAGAAAAAGAGGTGAACTGAAAGGGTAATATGATTTTCTTATTTTAATTTTTAGTAGAATACTTTAAATCATTTCAGTAATGTTGAAACATCAAATTGTTTTGATATCAGAAAATATTTTATAGATGTTATTAAAGGTAATTAAATTAATAACTATTCCTTATATTAGCCAATTTTGTTGATTGATAACAATAATCTTACAAAATATTTGTTTTATTTTTAAGTTAAGCAGTAATAATCAAAACTACAAACTTTGGAATATGTTTGAAATAAGTCAAGTACATATAGTTGTAGATTAAAAGTATGATTAAAAAGCTCATATAACTTGGCATAAGTTCCTTTATTTTTTATTAACTCTTTTAAATGAACTATGTAAGATTAAAAATGAGAGTACTTAAGTTCATTGACCCCCAATGCATTAAAGTATTTTAAGATTTCAACATTTAAATGTTTGGTAATATATTCTGGAAGTTTTCAACATTTAAATGTTTGGTAATATATCCTGGAAGTTTTCAACTTAGATTATTAGTGATTTCTAATATAGTAAAATACATCAAATGGTGTATTTTTTAAAAGATTTGTTTTATTATTTATGCATACAAAAGCTGGGGTATAGGTCAGAGGTGCTCGGCGCCTGGGACCGTGGGTGAGAGGATTCACCAGAGACAGAGTGGGGAGCAAAACAGACAAATCTATTGAAATACAACTGTTGAGTCATGGGTTCACTGAGACACATGACACACTTAATGCTCATGATTTAAAATTTAATGAAAAGAGAGACTGTTGGTCCTACCTGGTGGTGCAAAGTGATGGGACACAGCACTACAAGCTAGCCGCAGCTGCTTCAAAACAAGTTCAGTCCCTGGCCCAGAGGTGACCTGCATGGCATGGCAGACCTCTCCTGTCTCACCTGCTGCTCCCTTCAACAGGGTACTTTGTCGATCTGCCTGTTTTGCTCCCCACTCTGTGTCTGGTGAATCCTCTCACCATCCCTGAACCTCTGGCCTGTACCCCACTTATTGTATGCATAAATAAATAAATAAATAAATATTAAAAGAAAAAGAAAAGACAGACTTACACAAATTCTGGTCCTGTGTTTGGATGCTGATAGAGTGGTGGATTGATCCTCTCAGGAAGTAGCCAACACACTAAGCAAGTAGGGCAAGAGGGAAGATGACACTGAGTAGAAGTCAGTTGAGTACTATTTGAAAAGCTAAACAAATTATTCTATTGATCGTAATATTTTTTAAGTGTATCTCACACATGTATCCCAGTGGGCACATAGCCAAAATCTTCTCAATCCAAAACTGGACACAGGGACTAAAAATAAAATTTCAGTTCACTACTTACTAAAGCATTGCCAGTAACTTTAAACAAGTATCACCAGTAAATTTCACAATGTATAACTTAGTTAAACATTTATCAAATCCTCCAGTGATTTGTTAACGATATTTATTATATGTAGATGCAAAGCTATATTTTAACTGATACAGTGGAATTTGATTTGAGGAATAACTTTCCAAATGACCCCAGAAAACACCCCTGTAATCTGAAAAAACATCAAAGTGAAGTAACTAAATATATCCATGGCAAATACAGCTTTTGGATGAAATCTGAAAAATATTCTTACGAGTTGGACGATTTCATTCATAATATGAAGCACTGATTTAAGAATCTTAATGAATCACATTTTGCAGAGTATGTAAAATTTACATATGCTTTCACATTTTCCTTAACAAAAAGCACTCAAGACAGAAATTCTAATCAGATTGTGATACCTGGAAACCATGATTTTTTTTCTTGTTTTTTTTTTTATGGTAATTGAGGTACAATGGGAAGGCCCCCCTCAAAATTTCAAAGAAAATAATTGATGCCAAAAAATTCCACAGCAGAGTTAAGATTGTAAAGCTATTATCATTTTAAAGGAGGAAGAGGGCAACAAACCAGCATGTGCCTACTCTCTCTGGTGTATCACCCATCCACAGCAGCTGGGTACCAATCAAATGTTCTTTCTCCTCTGCCAACCACAAAGTTTCCCACTGCACATAGCATCTTAAAATCCCCTTCTCTGAAAAATTAATTTTACCAATTCACAATTTTAAAGCATAATGTGGTGGTATGGCAATTATAAATTAACTTCATATTCATTATGCACAAAGTAGATGGAAATATTGACCATGCATGTAGATTATGGAAAGATTGAAGTGTAAACCTGACTATAAAACTAGATAAATGAATGTTCACAAATTCTCATTCTCCATTCACTGGAGTTTAGTTTTCTCACTGGAGTTCTGTTTCTGAACCTAAAGAAAGAACCGAGTATAAGACAAGCAAAGAATTAGACCCCTGGGGAACACTGACTGAATGGAAATAATTTCTACACATGTATTTTTCCTTCCTCATGAGCCGGACTACTACGTTATTTTTCTTCTCTCTCTTCTCCATATATATAGAGGAAGGTAAAAACAAAACAAACAAAAACCTAAATAAACGAAAATACTTTTTTTTTTTTTTGTCTATTGAATGTTAGTAGGCTATAATAGAGAATTTGAAACTTAAAAGTTGCTTTCTTTTTCTTCTTTTTCCCCTTCTTAAGTAGCTCCCTTAGGGAGCAAATCAGGAGGTGGAGAATAAAGTAGTTGTATAATGTTTTGTTAAAAAACTGTTAGACTAGAACTATTTTTAGTGTTTCTCAGTATAAGCCCTATAGTCAGCATAGGTTTACAAAATTAAGAAATGAGTTATCAAAAGGTAGAAATATAGATAAACTAGAGAGAGAAACAATCAGAAATAAAGTTTATAGTGCCTACTGCCACAAGACTTACTCTGCCTACATATAATTTGCTACTCTAGGGACTGTGCCCTTGCCACAAGCAAGGAGCTGTATTTTCCATCTTGCTAAAATTAATTGTTGCTTGTTTCAGAAATAAACAAACTCTATTAGTTTGACATTATATAGTGTATGATATTTGCAGCTGGATCACTTATTGGAATCTACATTTTCACTGTTTTATATTCCTTTGATTATTTTATGAAATCTATGCTGGTATTAAAACATAATACTCTGGGGAAAATATGACAATTGTGGATTAAAGTATAAGTAAAGCTTCACTAATTTGGAAAATGGAAGTGACAAAACCGTGTGACTTGATGAAGAATTGGAATCAAAAGCTTCTTTAAAAAGACATGTAAACATACACTGTTCCCAAAGAGACTCTCACACAGGTCTAGCTGGCTTGCTTAATGAGCATAGAAGAATCACTTAATATTGTGCACAAAATAGCTCTACTTTGATAATGTTAAAATCTTTTTTAAAGTGCTTGCATAGTTTTGCTTTTTCATAATAGGATAGCTCCTGCAATCTTAAACTCTCAAGGTGTTTATTATAAAAAATGAATACTAGGTAACTGTTCATCTTTTTCCTGAGTTGTAATAAACCAAAAATTCATGAAGATTTATTATGACTGTGATGATTTTTAATATTAATTATGTAAATATGAAGCATTTAAAATACTTTGAAAAATACACAGACGATGTATGTTCCATTCTTTTTTACAAACCAAAGAGACAGGAATCAAATCCTTTGCTGAGGAAAAAATAGGGTTTCAATTGCAATTGTAATTCAAAGATTTATATTTCCTGATTCATAACTTGTGTTTTCAGCAATGAAGCTTTCAGTAAGACATTGCCTAGGTTTCTTTTACTACTGAGGAATATAAGAGATAAAAGTGCTGTTCATACTGCTACTTTAAAATGCAAAAATAAACATTCATTAAACTGATATTGTTAGAATGCACTGCATTAATTTGAAAATATAAGTGAATTAAATCAAATACTTATATCTTGTTTATAAGATTTTATTTTAACCCCCAAGTTTCTGCCCACTGTTAAGCATTCCTGAGTCTGTTTCCTCTCTTCACAGCTACAGCTGTCTCCAGCGAGCAGAATCCTGTGATTATAATCGCTGTGGTTGCTGTGGCAGGGACCATCATTTTGGTGTTCATGGTTTTTGGTTTCATCATTGGAAGAAGGTAGAACATAACTTTGTTCTCATCTGTAATTAGAACTACATTAGCTTATTGATTATAAATAATCTGTTTAAGTGTTCCATAGAAACTACAAGTATTCTTTGTTAGAATTGCAACATTAAAGCTCAAGAAATTGTCATTCTTCCACAGTGAAAATACAGTGTAAACTCAATCAACTTAGATTAAAAATATTTTAAATTATATTGATTGAAAATATATTGCTTATTTTCGGTAATAGGTTTTTATAATTAATACAGATGATAACTGAGAAAAAATTATTTTTTTAGTGACTCGTGGAAACTATTTAAAATCTGTTGGTTTTGTTGTTGCTGTTATTATTTTTGTTTTCAGAAAAATAAGTAAACAAATAGTCAGTCATTGATAAATCTAAATCCATAAAATGTTTCTTCTTCTTTGTGCATTTTTTAATTTTATGTGAAATTTTAATTATGTGGATTGCTATCTTATTATTAAGGAATATGTAACAATGGGAATTTTTTTTAATTTTGCTTATAATCCTAAGCAATATATTATCAAATAATTAAATTATTGGTATAGAATTTTAAATGTGTAAAGTAAGATCATTGATTGAGATTGTCTCAAATTTTATTTTTTCTAGGCACTGTGGTTATAGCAAAGCTGATCAAGAAGGAGATGAAGAACTTTACTTTCATTGTAAGTGTTTGGCTTTTCTTTACTATTATATACCCCAATTAATACAGAAACCTGATTGTTAGCATTGGCATGAACAAATTACTAATGTATCATGCTTGAAATTATATAGCGAGCTCAAAACAGTGCTTTCAATCATATAAACAATATTTTAGATTAAACGTCATGTTATGTGCAATTTTAAAAAGAAAATATATATTTAGAAATGTAATCGCTTACAAGAAACTTTAATATAACTACAGGATACTCAGCTGCTTTTTGTCACAATTTTTCCTTTTGCCAACTTTGCCCAAATGTTATGCCATTCTAATTATAATCCATTAAATGTTGCATGCACCCATGCTCTAGCTAAGCAATTCATTTCAAGTTAAGGGGATAGGCCCTTTTTATACACCAAATAAGAGGTGCTACCGTAAATAACTGAGCTAAGGAATCGCTTTTCTACAGCTGTTATAAATTGTATATTTTTGATTTTTTTAATTAATTCAACCTTCTGATATTTTCCTATGAGTTGGAGTCACCAATGTGATTTTTAAAAATATATTTTAATAGTCACATTTGGTAGATAGCTAAGGGAAACCAAAGAAATTAGTTGCCAATCTATATTAATCTTATTTTTGTTGTAATATGGATGGCAAGTGAAAACATGAGAGAAATGTGATTAAATATTATTAATTTAAACAACCAAAGTTAAACCTGATGAATTCTTTTAGTCCATTAATTAATAAATTAGTGATGTACTTACCCATTCCATTATTTCCTTTTTTATCCTTAAAAATATTGTTAAACAGTTTTGCTTATTTTTACAGTAGCTATAATTTTTGCTAAATTTTCTCATGAGTGGATATAAATTTCCTATAAATGACATAAAATTTATAACATTTACTATGTTTTATTAGTTCTTTTGTCAATATTTAAGATATATTATCATGTAAATTTCCCAAAGTATATAAACATTATAGATAAAAATAAATAAACATAATTAATAAACATTTATATAAATAAATATTTATATAAACATTATAAACATTTATATAAAATATATAAACATTAATTAACAACATGTATTGTTTAAAGACACAAATCATGCACAGTATTACTTTTGTTCCTAAGTTTATTCATTGTATTTTTATTTATTGAAGAAATAGTTACCCTTGACCTTAGTTTCCAAAAAAGAAATGATTTCACATAATGCATGTCCACACTGATTATGAAACTCTAGAATTGCAACCACTGAAAGAAGAAGGCCATCTAGGATACTATAAATTAAAGCGTTATCACCAAAGGTGACTTTATAAAGCATAACCGTCAGGTTCTCTCACTTTCATAGAGAGAGTCCTAGAAATTGTGTATGATTTAATCACAAAGGTTTTTTAATACAGAGGTTATCCACTATGTCAGAGGCTAACAGTCTCATGAAATTTGAATCTAGCCCTGATTATAACTGAATACATGTGATTCTACTACCTCTCCCTGGGATTATTTGTTAAATTCCCTGTGTTGTCACTTGCTTTTGCTAATCTGGCTGGGAGTGGCTTGTGTCAAGCCTCAGGCATGAGAGTGCATTAGCAGTTTACAGCTAGAGGAGTTACAGAAAAAGTAGAAGTGACTTGCTTTTTCTTCCATAACCTGATAGAATATTTTTACATTTCCACAATCAGGAAGGAGCAGGTCAAAATTTGAATGCCTAAATTTTTAGCTCTAATTTTAAAAATGTATTTATAAAAATAACATAAGTATAAACCCTGGAATTTCTCATTCTACTCATATGTGAACAGTTTATTGGCAGAATCATTCAATATTACCTTAATAGGTACTTCATTTTTCTTTCCTTGATTGAAAATATTCGTGACACCCAAATTATGAAATATGTTTTAGTTTATTTGCTTTTTGTTTGTTAGTAAATGTACAAGGTGAGTTGAAACATGGCTATCTAAAACTTGTTCTATAGCTTTATGCTTAATTGTCATCCATAAATTTTAATATTTTGACACCATTTGATTTTTTTACACTTGACATCCAGTCTATAATTAAAGTAGACTTGCATGTTTTTCTTGCTAACATAGACAAGATAAGCTTTGCTTACACACATTTTTATCTTCAGTACAAATTATCAGTAGCAGTTTTAATCATTTAACATTCATGAGAAATGTAAGATATTAAAACAGAAAGTTAACACTGTTGAGATAAACAGAAGACCAGAATATTCAGATATTTTGTCAATATTGTCCTTATTTTGAAACCTACATTTTTAATGAATAATGCAACACTGAAATACACTTAACATATCCTCTCTAGTAAATCCTTGCTAGTTTTGAGTCTCTATCTTTATAAGGATCTCTTTTCTTGTTATTTGATGAAACCCAGGCATGTTATTGGATTTTATAAATGTATCAAAAGTAAAGTACAACACTATGGTGACCAGCTATTTACAAATTGTGTCCTTTTATCCTTTATATACAGACAATTTTCTTAGGTGCTAAGACACCCGATTGAATTTTTACAGAAACATGAAAGCAACCATTTAACTAGCTTTTAGAGCACTGAATTTAATAGAATGTCCAGTCATTTGTATCAGGTGCCCTCAACTCTCCATGGCCCCAAGAGCTACATTTAAAGATATAAACACAATGGAGGAGTTTAGTGAAGCAATTCCAATTTACATTTTGTTTCCTCCTACCATTTCTTTGAACAATGTCTTCCAATCCAAGCTGGGCAGTATTTCATGTTTTTATGCCAAAATTGTTCTGTCCTGTCAAAATGTTTTATGACAGCTTGAATAAAGAACCATCAGAGAACCGTTTGAGATGCAAAAGGTTACCTCCATTCTAAGAGCTCCCTTATCACAAAAAAAAAAAAAAAAAAAAAAAGGAAAGAAAGAGAATCAAAAGGGGGAAGATGGCTCATTCTCCATCTGCCTGCCAATCTAGGAGGTTAACCTATTGTTTTCTTCCCTTCTCTCTTCTTTCTTCCCCCCCTCTTCCCTGTACTCCTTCTTCTCTCTTTTCTCTTTCTATCCCTTCTCTCTTTTCTTCTTGTGTTTTTTTTCATGTTCAGCTTTAGTAACAAATGAGCATCTGTCAGTTTTATAAACTGCAACAGTAATTGTTTAAGACAATCAATTTTGGATAAACAATCAACTACAGCAGAATAAATCAAGATTTTTAAATCCCATTTTCCTTTATACATTCTGCTTCTTTTCGTTTGTTATGTGTTTATTTTTAAAATATAAATTAACTTTAATGTGATGACATAAGCACAGTTAGGCTGCAGTGTAATACATAAAGAAATATATTGTTTTCTGAATAGTAAGATTTAATGAAAAGATTGTTCGGTGGCTTTGTTAAAAACAATAAAGTTTTTTTGAGGATATAGTGTAATTCTTTTCATTGCATTAATATAACCAAATATATGCCTATCTTTGTCTTTAACCAAATGATTAGATTTGGAATACATTATTGTAATTGAATTTGATTTAAAGTTGACATATCATTATCTGTTACCTGCATGCTTCTGGGTGCATTTTAAGACGTTTTTAACTTTTAAGATAATTCTATGTTGTTTGAATTTTGACTACCTTTTCTGAGGAATATTGGCTACCTCCTTCCAGAGCCTTATTATGGAAAGTTTATATACACCATTCCTCTTTCAAATTTCTGTCATACATGGTTAGCATATCCCAGGAATATTGTAAATTTTCTAACTTTACTCTGCACTTTGTATATTTGGCCTCTATTGCCCTTGAAGATGAAGATGAAACTGTGTCTTCAGTAGATTCCTCTCTGACTCTGTGATAGCAGCCCCTCACATCTTGTATTAATTTTATGTATATGTCAACGGTGGTTGGTCTTTAAAAAAATAAATCAAAAGAATAAGTAAGATGTCTAAATGTTTTTAATATTGCTGTCAGTGTAGTAGGCTACCTGTAAATGAAATGTCTTCTTTTCCCAGTGTATTAATTTGATTGATTGACTGACTGATAGATTTACAAATGTGTTTCCAAGTCCATTACAAACCTCAATATGGCGTGAACTATGCCATGATAGCAGTGAATTTAATTAAACCTCCAGTCTGATAAGAGTCATGTCAGAGAATTTTGGTGATGTCTTTTGTTGATTTACTGGAAAAGCAATTCAGTTAGCAACCTATGAGCTGGATCCTATGTTACCTATAGAAGCTTGCAGATAATACCTATACGCCCACAGACTGAAGTAGTCTGTTAAAACTGCTGTGAATCAGGTGATGTGGAAGCAAGTTCACTGTTCCAAGGAGCACTCTGCATAATGAAATTCCTGGGCTGACTGCACAATAAGTGCTTTGCTTCATCACAGTCATGCTTTCTTACATCATTACAGTTAAATTTCCAGGCACCAAAACCTACATTGACCCTGAAACCTATGAAGACCCAAATAGAGCTGTCCATCAATTCGCCAAGGAGCTAGATGCCTCCTGTATTAAAATTGAGCGTGTGATTGGTGCAGGTAAGGCCGTTGTAGCTTCCTTGTTCAGCTGTTCCTTTTAGCCAGGATCGAAAGTCATACATCATAATGACAGGCAAATAATTATACCTCAAGTATAGAACTTTTACATTTACCTGAACTGTTGGAAGCAATGAGGCTGTACTTGTTTATGAAATCTTAAGGAAAAAGAGAAAAAAGTGCATGGCCAGAGAATCTGTGTATCTTTTGAATTCTGTCATTTTAAGATGTTATATGTTTTCTCATAACACTTTTAACCTGTTATTAAAATAATGACTTGGAATTTAAAAAACATAAGGCTGTTCTTGAATTTTGTTGAAATAAATATTTCCTCTTACTTGATTCAACACTACTTATAAAGCTTTCCGCTTCACCGTATTTTCTTGTAGTTTTAGGTATAAGTAACCAGTGTGCTACTTAGTTTCATATAGAAAATTAGTATGTGTGAATTACTTAAAAGGAATGTTATTTTCTCTTTGTATGTTGTAGTTTGTAATATCTACACATTTTGGATCCAAGACCCTTAAATCTAGCAGACTTTAGAAATATTTGTTTCTCAAACTGAAAAAGCAATAACAATGTCTAGTATTTGCTAATTCACTCTTCTATTTTAATAGGCAAAGCAGGCTATATACTGCATTTCAAATCTAAGTGCTATTTCTAAAAGTTTTTGTTAATTTAAAATAATAGCTTGGGTAACAGTTTATGAAAGCTTAAACATGCACTTAAAGAATTTAATGCCTTTTTCTTTAAGGGAAAAGTATTTCTGAAATTAAAATAAACCTGCCTGTTCTGTACTTCAGGAGAATTTGGAGAAGTCTGTAGTGGTCGTTTGAAACTTCCAGGGAAAAGAGATGTCGCTGTAGCCATAAAAACGCTGAAAGTTGGTTATACAGAAAAACAAAGAAGAGACTTTTTATGTGAAGCAAGCATCATGGGACAGTTTGACCACCCAAATGTTGTCCATTTGGAAGGGGTTGTTACACGAGGTAGCTATTTATTATGTCACTCATATATTGTGTCTTACATAATAGTAACTCCAAGTTATGAACATTTTTATATGCTGAATAAAAGGTTTTATTTGTATAGAACTAATGAAAACAATTATTTTGTGTTGCCACTTCAGAAAAAAATTCAATTACAGAGAATGCTGGATTAGAGTTAAACAATAAATCTGATCTATATATAGAAGGATGATAAGTATTTTCATTTACTTACATAAAGTGAAACATTAGTCTTAGATTTTATATAAAGCATCATTTTCTCACTTTTGTTCACAAAGCAGGTATCAGAAGAACACATTAATATTGTTTAATTTTATGAATCAGGTATATATTCCAAACAGACATTCAATGGCTTTTTTTTTTTTAAGATTTTTATTTATTTATTCACATGGAACTGGGGTACAGGCCAAAGATGTGGAGGGTGAGAGGATTCACCAGAGACAGAGAGGGGAGCAGAACAGGCAGATCAAAGAAGTACATGGCTGAGAGGAACAGCGGGCGGGTCAGGAGAGGTCTGCCTCGCCATGTGGATCTCCTCCGGGGCAGGCGGGAATCGAACTCATGCGGCAGTGGCTTTAGCTTCTTAGTGCTGCGCTTTAACCTGCTTCGCCACCAGGGAGGGCCTCAATGGCTTTTTGAACTTAGCAGAAACATTAAAAAACCTCTCAAGTCACTCAATCTGTCTTTCAAAAGAGTACCATGTATTTTACCTAGGATGAAAAAGGTCTTTGAAGTTTAGATTATGGTGTCTGAAACAACTCCTTTTTCACATATATGTGTACATATATGTGCACACACATACATATATATGTATATATATTTTTTTAATTTTAGGAAAACCAGTCATGATTGTAATAGAATTCATGGAAAATGGCGCTCTAGATGCATTTCTCAGGGTAAGTAACAAAATTATTGTACCATTCATTTTAAATTTACTATACATGCTAGCAATATAAATACCTGAAAAATGTTTCATTGTAAATATAGACATTATAACATTGACAGTTCAGAAAATTGTCTTTTAAAATCAAATATACATCATAGTTCTGCATTTCACCTAGCAAGTCCAACAACTTAACCAATCTCTTTAAGGCACCATATTTGTAATTCAGTTGAAGAAATCTGTGGGGGTAAAAATTGCTTAGATGAACAGAGATTTAGTATCACTAATTAGTATATATATTTTAGAGGATATTTATTTCCAGGAAGCTTCCTACCAATAGCAAACCAAGGAAATGAATAAACTGAAAACAGAAATAGTCAGTATAATATTTTTTTACTTCGTTCTGCATCATTTGTACTCAAAACTTTTCTTCTTTCAACTTTTTTATGTTCTAGAGACAATATCTTAATATAAGTTTCTCCATCCCTTTGTATATTTTAGATAACATAAAATTTTTTCACATGTAGGGAATACATTAGCTTACAGGGATAATATTTATGGATTTTGTTACTTAAAACTAACATGAACTTTCAGAATTGCATTATCTAAACCTATTATTAACATTAATAACTACCAGTATAAATTAATAAATTATTTCTGTGCTTCTGGAGCGTCCTGACAGCCCAATTTCTAAAGATTGTGTGGAGGCCTCCTCACACCATAAAGCAATTCTTAAACACTAGTCATGTGTCCAAGAATTCAACTCAGTGCTGACAAAGTCTACGACACAGCGTCATTTTACAGTTTAAGGGCTCAGTCTCCCAAATCACCCCCCCCCACTTCAAATGCCTCATACATGTGTCTGACAAGCCCTGCTTCTTGTCAACTGGTTGCAGATCAGGTGTCACCACAATCGCCACAATACACTCAGATTTCAGATACCCATCTGCTCTCTGACCAGCTGACTATGTCAAAAGTTTGTGTCACACTCTCCACACGTTCAATTGATTAGCACTAATGATTCACAGAATTTAGTAAACCCATTTACTCACTGAGTCACTGGTGTATTACAAAAGATACTTATCAACAGCCAGAAGAAACCAGTGTAAGGAAAAGAAAGGGCAAGGTACATGCTTTCTCTAGGTGTACCATTCACCCACAAATCACCATGTGTTTACCAATTCAATAACTTTGGGGAAGCCCCCTCCTTTTGAGCTTTCATGGAAACCATAAAATGTTTTCCATTACATTTCATGATTGATTCAGTCTTTAGAGATTAGCAATTGTGCTCAGCTTCCAGTCCCTTGCCTTCAGGTTTTCCTAAAAAATTAACTTCACTAAGAGAATAAGACACATCTTTAACACCATACATAAGAAATTAGAAAGGCTTAAGAGGACCTGTGTGCCAGGAACCATGGATGAAAACCATATATATATATAATATATAAATATAAGAATATTTCTCATATATATATATATATATATATATATGTGAGAAATCACACACATGCATGTGTGTGTGTGTGTGTATCCATTCTATAAATCACAATAGAGCAATTACCAAATTCTCTTTTGTATTACTTGATTTCCAGTTGACTCAACACTGGTATTTTTACTGGTGTCTATTATATAAAAAATGAATATATTCTTCATATACAGTTTGAAATAGCTTATGTGCAGATAATTTTCCTCCTTTTTTTCCTTTTCAAAATACAGTGATATATATATATATAATTATATATATATATATACATATATTTTAATAAAACTTTTATTTCTGTCTTCCTACAGAAACATGATGGGCAATTTACAGTCATTCAGCTAGTAGGAATGTTGAGAGGAATTGCTGCTGGAATGAGATATTTAGCTGATATGGGATACGTTCACAGGGACCTTGCAGCTCGCAATATTCTTGTCAACAGCAATCTTGTTTGTAAAGTGTCAGATTTCGGCCTATCCCGGGTTATAGAGGATGATCCAGAAGCTGTCTATACAACTACTGTAAGAAAAAGTCTGTTGTTAGATCTCTTTAACAGTCCTGAGATTTTCCTGCTGGGAAAGTGGGATTTAATAATGTAAAACTTAAACAGAAGAAAGGAGGCAAATAGATCTAAGCTTTTCTGTTGTTGTTTTCTTTTACCTTTTGTGTGTTTATGATCTGTATATACTCTAAAAGGAAAAGTAATGCTAAGAGTGATTAATTTGTTTATCTAACACAGGGTAGTCATGTAAATAATATGCAGTTATATATATCAACATCTAGTTAATAACACTCATAATGATAACAGAAAAATATAATCACATTTTAAATAAAGATTTTTAAAGAAGATTAGTTATGCTAATTCTTATAGCTTTTGTGTGACTGTAAAATATTTGAGGATTTACTGATATGTTCCATATTTATTTAATGTTAATAGTGATTTGGGTTGTTTTATCAGTGTCTTTTGACTAGACTCTTTCCTGAAGATCTCTTTTGTCTCATTAAGTTGAGTTACCTTAAAGATGAAGCTATATAATGATATTTTAAATAATACATTAGAAACTTTCAGGACCCATAGAGAGAGTCAAGGTAGACCACCTGCTGCTGCTTTGCCAACCAAGCCTGCAAATGTTTAATGCCCTTTTTTGACACTAATATAAGTGACTTACAAGTTATAATACATGCTTAAAAGGTCAATTTCTTTTCATAACAGGGTGGAAAAATTCCAGTAAGGTGGACAGCACCGGAAGCCATCCAGTACCGGAAATTCACATCAGCCAGTGACGTGTGGAGCTATGGGATAGTCATGTGGGAAGTTATGTCTTATGGAGAAAGGCCTTATTGGGACATGTCAAATCAAGATGTAGGTGTTACATTATATAAACAAAAAGGATTTAATGCATTAGTATCCATTAATATTAGAACATGTAGGTAATGATTTAGGAAGAAGAATCTATTATAGAATTATAAAAGCATGGTTGTTTAGTTTTTCACAATTATTACCACAGAGTATCACATAAATTACCAGAAACTAGTAATCCAGCTAATTTCATTTTGAAGAACTGTCCTTTTTTTAATGAACAGTCTTAGTATTTAATAGAAGCCGACAGCAGATATTTCCTCCTAACTAAACCAAATGATGCTGCACTTACAGAGCTCCCTTGAAAGTCACATGAGTAAAATAACATTGACTAAAAGGAGAGGAAGGAAGGTTGTGTTTTATCTTTACAGCTTATCTTTCTTTTTCATTAAATGTTCTGAGAAAATATGTTTAATATTAATATTATCAATTTATGTGTTTAATTAAATGTACTTTCATCAGATAATCTGTATTTTATGCTCAATGTTGGTGTTTCATATTGCTATTTTAGAATCACAGATCACATGTAGTCACAAAGTGAGTACCCGTGAGAATTCCCATAAATCAAAAAAAGCACTTATTATATGTACCCTGTTGCAAAAGGACATGCTAAGATATGAAACATGCTGTTGTCCTTTGAGAAAAGAAACTGGGGACAATTCTGGGGATATACATCTCACACCAAGAGACCATTTATAGAATGGTGTGGGGTAAGTTCAAATGAATGTTTGCTTCTGTTAGGTTGATGTTTGTGAAATTGGCACACAGAAACATTCAAACACTAGCAGTTTCATATAGTTTGAGTAATTTGAAATTGGAAGTGAATTTTCAATAACCTAGATGTGAAATCAAATCCAGATAACCTGGATTTGAACTAGACATCTGCAGAAGACCTTGATTCATACCTGTTGACTGGGGAGTCAAGAACACAATCTTGGTGTGGCATTTGGGACCAACCAAAGTCACTTTCCTCTAACAGAGGTGCACACAACACCTTGATAATGATTTTAAGTAAGGACTAGATTGCAGCAAGAAGATGAAAAGACTTTTTGAAGGAGTTTGGGAGTAAAATAGTGCAACTTTTTTACATGTAAAACAATAGAAGACGTGCTCAAGGGAGACTGTATTGCTATTTAACCCAAGGATGTGGCTAACAAATTGTTTATGACTAGTCAGTCTTTAAGGTACTGAAATGAGGTTATTTTTCAAAAAGAGATCATGAAAACATTATATTAAAATAGTATTTTTGTTTTTAATTTTAGAATTTTCTATAGCAAGTTCCTATGGTTTGTAAAACTTGTCAATTATTGGTTCTAGACAAATAAATTTAGATTATTATGTTTGTAAGGTTATTTTCAGTACATTACAAATTTCAGCATTAACTGAAAAGTTCATGTCCTAGACAGTCAACTCTTTGAAATCAGTTAAATCTTTTGAAAGTTTCAATTGAATGCTAACATGAAACTTTGGTTGTTGTTTTGGTTTTTAAAAATAAAAATCTAAATGATGAGTCCATTTGGCAGAGCCAAAGTTGTTAAAATTTGACAGGTCTCAGTGTCAGATATTTCATAGGCTGTCAAAATATGGGCAAACAAATCCTTGGGGCAGAGAAAGAGAAATATTTACATTCCCTAGACACTTGGTAGAGTTTCATTTCTTTTGACACCTTCCTTCTTACTAGATTCAAACATAAAGGGAATGACAGGAATATAGGATGACTTAAATGCAAAGTTTACTTAACTTCTAAAAACAATAAATGGTTAAAAAGAAAAACATAAATATTTAAAATTTTAGAGTCCCCAAAGCATTGTTGCATTATTTTTCTTAAAAAGTATCATAAGTACATAATTATTATATTAAGATTTTTTTTAAAAAATCAAATTAAAACATTAAGTTTATAGTGGAGTTTAATTCTAATATAGAATATGTTTTTAAATTTGATGATCAATTATTAAATTTGTACACAATTTTTTATAATAATATGAAATTATCTAAACAGTTCCATTCAGTTCTTATGGTAAAGCTGATTTTTTAAATTCTTTTTTGATGGTAATATTCATTATTTTATCCTTATTGTATTAAAGTACTAGTTGAGCAATTATATTTTTAATTTTCAATATTCAAAGTGGTAAAATACTGGGTAATATAAAATTATTCCACTCTGTCAAAAAAAAATAACTTGTGGCTTCTGGTAGTTAATGAAGAGATTAAGATCTCTATGGAGCCCAAAATACATACAGAAATCCTATGTATATGTGTGGATTTTGTTAAGTTTCCTTTTATTGACTTTTGAGACTATTTTTTTAATTAGCCTTAATGTTGCATTAACTGAATCAGTTCACTTTATATTGTTCAAATTTAGTTGCCAGGGAAGTTTTCAGAGATTTTAGAAAACTATCAAGTCAAATACTATGAATTTTAAAAGTCCTTTCACAAAAACAACATGAAAGCACGAGGTGAATTGGAGGGTTTTTTGTTGTTGTTGTTCTTTTTTGTTTGTTTGTTTTCTAATGGAATTAACATTGGTTTCCAGCACTGTAACTGATTAAGGAGTAGGTTTAAACCTCTGTGGTTATCATCACAATACACCTTTCACCAAGCACCCAATGTCCTGAGTCCCCAAATAGCCATGCAGAATGCTCATCTGTGATCAATCAGAAGAAATAGAAAAGGGGCATGTGAAGTCAGTGAAGGAGATAGTTGCCAGGTGGCTTCAGCTGAACCCTTAGACAGGACAGTGAGCAATAACAATTTGAGGAAAAATAGTATGTGTGTATTGACCCAAAGAGGTTGTCACTTGACACAGTGAATGCACTTCATGTCTTCATTTGTCTAGCATATGTGTAACTGTATAGTTTTCACTACCCTGGAAGCAGAGAGTTCACTAGATAACTAGTTAGGATCTTTTTATTTGCTAATAATTGGGACTGAAATTTCCAACTTTCATTTTGTCTTAAAAGTCTATAGATATTTAGCCCTTTCCATTAATGATCTTTCAGAAAAACTTCCTGATATAAATTCAGTCAAACTTAATAGATATTACATAAATTGAAAATGCAATTGGCATTCACATTAACTATCTAATAAAATGTCAAAATGAAATGTTAATTCTCAAAGGTTGAATTTTTTTCATTATATAAATTATATATTATTTCTATGTGTAATACTGAAAGTTATTTTTCTTACTTAAACCAGTATAATGTTAATGCTATTAGTAGGTATAAGGATGATAAAAAGATTAAGTTTTCATAAAGATGTGAGACATAAAGATAGTCCCTTAAAGTGGTCCATTAAAAGGCATTTAGAAGCTTTAAAAATGTAATTTTTATAAGTAAATTTTTTTCTGTTAAATTGTAAGCTTTCAATTTATCCTTTTAAAAGTCACCACTGATTTATGACTTTGTCTTTTTTTTTATGTTAAGATAGAAACAAAGTTGTGATGTTTTTAACTTGGCCATAATTTGATAAATGGAATCCAAAATATTTAATTGCATAAAATGTGGGTCATGTTATTGTGAGGTCAATGAAATGAAAATGGATAGGAGCAGAGAATAGAAGCCACTCAATTTGTATTCCATTTTGAGTTATTATAGGCCCATTACTATGGAGTCTTTCAGTGTTCCTTTTTCCTTAATTACTATGATCTCTCTGTAATAATATTGAAACACTTCGCAGCAAGCAACTTGTACTTTTATTTCTAAGTATTTCTTTACACTTTATACCAAGATGTGATGTCTGTTATATCCTAGCAGTTCTTGAAAATGCTTTACACTGGTCACTTCCTATTCCTTTGGGTACAAATTACAATTAAAACTGCTTATGAATATTTTTCTTTTTGTTTTTGGTTAGAATACGAAGGCTAGAACTGGAATCGCAAATCCAAGGGGTTTCTGATAATTTCACAAAGACGAGATGTTTTAATTAATTTCATGAATGACCGCATTATGCTTTAAGAAGTGTAGATTCAGCCGTCTCACCTGTGTAGCTATTTGTTTCCAAGAATATGCAAGTATTTGCTGAAAGTACCTTTTATTTGCCCAAATGGAAATATAGTGAAACAAACTAAATGAAAACTACAGAATCCTTAAGTTCAGTATGTGCCTGATTCTTTCCTATCAGTCTGTTTATCCTCAAAGGGTATACTTTGGATCATGCCAATTTGTGCTAAATAGCAATGAAAGTTGGTATTCACAATGCCCCTGGAGGTAAGGGCACAATTATTACTGTGCACTGTAGAGTTCCAATTCCATTCCCAATTCTTATTGCAAATGTTACAGTTGCTGCTGCTCCTTTAAAAATGTGTAAACCACTATTTTGGGGGGATCTAGAAGTTTCATATTATGTTGAAATAAAATGTTACTTCTGGGCTTTATTTATGCTTACAGAACTGGGGTACAGTCCAGAGGTGTGGTGGGTGAGAGGGTCACCAGAGGCAGAGTGGGGAGCTGAACAGGCAGATCCACTGAAATACTCTGCTGAGGGGAGCAGCAGGCAGGGCAGGAGAGGTCTGCCATGCCATGTGTGTCATCTCCCTGGCTGGGGATGGAACTCGTGCTGCAGTGGCTTTGGAGAGCTTCATAATGTGGTGCTTTAACCAGCTGCACCACCAGGGAGGGGCCTATTCAGTATTTTTTAAACCAGCTTTTTGTCTCCCTATATGTGACCTTATTTTCTTCAAAAAGGCAAGGTTACCTCTTTTTTTTTTTTCAGCCATTTTTTCTTAGATTTCTACTACTAATGTACTAGTCAGTTTCAAAGGATTTGTTCATAAAACCTTAATGTTTTATAAGATCTTGTTTGTCTTGGTCTTCTTTTATTTTCCTTGTACTGCTCAGCTGTATAACATATTCCAGTTTCGTTTTCCATATAACTCAACTGTGAATCAGTAACTTATACTTTCTGCTTGTCATGTACAAATGTTTGTGGATGCCTGTTTTTCAAAAACGTTCGAAGTTTCATGTAGTTTCCTAGACTTAAATATAAATAGACACTGATGTGCTGGTAAGGTTTAACAGCCAGCGCTCTGAGTGAGAAAGCCCTCATATGTAGCCTTCCCCATTTCCAAGTGTGACCTCCCTCTGCTCTATCCCTCCCTGCCTTTCAGTCTGCCAGTATGTGATCACGAACTTATAGCTGGGAAGTGATCAAACCACCTTCATGAGCCAGTACAATCAGATGCCACACACCACTGTATCGTTCAGCATTGTATAACTCATCGTGTGTAAGCTTCATATTTAAAATAACAGTGTGCCTGGTGATATTTTCTTCCATGGTAGATCGACATATTTGATAATTTGTTTAAAATTGTCATTTGAACACTACAAAAATTAAAACTTTTTAAAGTTATTTCTGGGTAATAAAGGGTTTCTTTTACATTTGGAGATTTTTTTATTATTATTATTCATAGCCTAATATGTATAAACAGAAATAAAACGGTTCTAGAACATAATTCCTTTTTGAGAACCTCGGGGATGACATTAAAAATTTTCCATTATTGCAACTTGTGAATTCATTGTTGCTAGCTATTGCTGAATTAACTAGGAAAAGTCACAATCTCCTTTCTTTTATGCACCCCTTGATCACATGCTTAATGTACAAGGATGTTTTGGAAAAAAAAAAGTCTTTTGAAAATCAGTGTGTTTCACATTATCTTCATAAATTATTTTGCCTACTGGACAATTCGTTTTGCTATAATTGAAACTCGGTCAGTAATATCTTTAATGTTGTTTTGGCCATTAGGTTATTAAAGCAATAGAAGAAGGTTACCGTTTACCAGCCCCCATGGACTGCCCAGCTGGTCTTCACCAGCTGATGCTGGATTGTTGGCAGAAGGAACGCGCTGAAAGGCCAAAGTTTGAACAAATAGTTGGAATTCTAGACAAAATGATTCGTAACCCAAATAGTCTGAAAACACCCCTGGGAACCTGTAGTAGGTAAGACATATCTAAGAGAAGGGGAGAAAGGAAGCTGGGAGCAGGGCAAATGTCTCTGTGACTCATGTATTTCTATTCCCACCTCAAGAGTGAATTGAAATACGTGTTAAATTGCAAGTCCATATTAAATGTATTTTGCTTACAAAAGTTTTTGTTTTCTTTTTTATTTTCAGATTATTTGCATTAGCTAAATTAGTATTTTAAGAGGGTTTTATGTATTAGAGTGCTTTTCTCCCAATGCCTACTTTCTTAGAAAACTTTATGACTGAATTTGTATTTAGGTGATAGTCATTTCACATTTCCAAACCATGATAATTATGTTATTTTTTGATTACTAATGCCCTACATTTTTGTCCTACATTGTTGTTTTGCATTAACTTAGTAAAATGGTTCTGTGAAGGTAAAGTTTACAGAAATGATAGACACCTACACATGAAAAATAATCCAAGCCTCTATTTTTTTGCATTTGGATTATTTCATTGCAATGTATATAGTAGTCACTGCCTAACTGTGGTGCTCTGGTCTGAACTGATTGTCAGTTAGGCCCTTGTGTAGATTCATCAACTCTCATACTCTCAGAAAGTGGCCATTAGTACAATGCGTTCATAATCTTCCCTGAAGCTTGCTCCCATACTGAACAAGCTAGCCCATATCCAAATGTATTTCCAGTTCCTTTTGGAGAAGCAAATTAATAGATGTATACTGCTTGATGTACTCTTTAAGGAACAGAGAAAATGAAATATGGTTGTCAAATCTAAATGCAATCTAAATTTTGGAGTTTGTCAGTTATCAAGCAACCTTTATGTGTTAGATGTTTATTATCATATTTGTTATTATGCATATACATAAACGTATACATAAAATATGTCATGGTATTCTTTTTTTTTTTTTGGTATGGGCCAACTCCTTCTTTCTTTGATAGTTCAAACTACTTTTCTGTTTCATTCTCATATAGGCCAATAAGCCCTCTTTTGGATCAAAATACTCCTGACTTCACTACCTTTTGCTCAGTTGGAGAATGGCTACAAGCTATTAAGATGGAAAGATATAAAGATAACTTCACAGCAGCTGGCTATAACTCTCTTGAATCAGTGGCCAGGATGACTATTGAGTAAGCTTAAACTTATAAAATTATATTTAACCATCTTTGAGGTACAATCCAGACCTTATATATTAAGTTTGTGTGAAAGACAAGGGAGAAAAGTATCCTTTAATAAGTGCCTACTATGTGCCAGGCTCATCGCAGCCCCATGAACAGAAAGTATCTTTGTTAAACCTCATTGCAATGACTTTATTAAGTCAGCAGTATCACATACAATAAGCACTATCAGCGAGTATGTGATGTTAGGAACTCTAATATCCCTGAAACTCTTTCTTGGCTAGACCATAACTCTTATGGGCAGTGCAGTTCCTCTCTGTCAGTTTTTGAAGAACTGTTAACAAGGTTCTATTAGTTGGGTCCTCTCTAGGTACTGTTGTGATAAGTGTTCACATTTTTCAGATGAAAGAATGCCAGCAGTCAGATATCTTGGCATATCAGAAAATGACATGTACATGAATTTATGCGTGTGTTGAATTATAAATGCTACCTTGTTTGGATTTCTACTACTTACTGCATGGGCAGAATGAACATACCTGTACCTATATCTCCAAAGCAAACTATACCCCTAAAAGTCATGAATTAGAAAAATGCTATGAAGTATTATACAAAAATTCTGTACCAGCGCCCTTTTTTACTTGCTTGCAAATTCCTGAGCTCAGTCTTTCTGGCTATTAGAAAAGCGTATTTCACATACACATAAAGAGCATATTTCATATTTAAGCTCTTCAACAGAAAGTATTACATGCCTTAAGAATTCTTTTTTTTTTCTAAAATATAGTCAGATGATGGAATTTAGCTGGAGTAAGTATATGACCAATAGCGCAGCTAAGACTGCCATGTGATAATAAAACTCAGTATAAAATATTGTATGATTGTTGGTGATTCTTAATCTATAGGAACCCAGCAAATGTTGCCTGCTATGTTTTAGTAATAATTTTTTAAACTTTTTTTCGGTCAAGAACACATTTCAAATAAAATTCCCTAACATTGCCTTAAGTTAGTAATAACTAAGATTTTAGTCATATCATATAAAACTTCAAAACAGTTGAAAAAGAAATTTTCATGGTGACTAGAGTGTCTCAACAGTTTGATGTTTACAAAGAATGTTAGTGTAGGTTTTCAGTGTGACCCACTGCAGAAATATGATCATAATACTCAAGAACACTGAGATAATATCTTACTTTCCTAAATTAAGTAGATTATTTAATTAAAGAGTTGATAACAATGTATTATCCAATAAATTCTCCATAAGGTAACTAATAAAACCTGTGTCTGTCTTTTTCAGGGATGTGATGAGTTTAGGGATCACACTAGTTGGCCACCAAAAGAAAATTATGAGCAGCATTCAGACTATGAGAGCACAAATGCTACATTTGCATGGAACTGGCATCCAAGTGTGATAGGCATTTCTCCCCTATGAGGGAGATGACAGACTGCAAGAGAACAGTACTGGCCTTCAGTATGTGCATAGAATGCTGCTAGAAGACAGCTGATGCCCTGAGTCCTTCCTCCAGTGAAGAGAAGATTTAAGAAGCACCTATAGACTTGAACTCCTAAGTGCCACCAGAATATATAAAAAGGGAATTTAGGATCCACCACTGGTGGCTAGGAAAACAGCAGTGACAATAAAACAAAGTACTACCTGAAAAACATCCAAACACCTTGAGCTCTCTAACCTCCTTTTTATCTTATAGACTTTTTAAAGTGTACATAAAGAATTTAAGAAAGAATATATTTGTCAAATAAAATCATGATCTTATTGTTAAAATCAATGAAATATTTTCCTTAAATATGTGATTTCAGACTATTCCTTTTTAAAATCATTTGTGTTTATTCTTCATAAGGACTTTGTTTTAGAAAGTTGTTTATAGCTTTGGAACTTTTTAGTGTTGATCTATGACACATTACTACACTGGGTACCTTTGAAAGAATATCAAATTAAAAAAGAAACATAGTATGATTGAAGATATATCTCTGTCAGATCATTGGTATCCTTTTTGTGCCATTTTATTTTGTTTAATCAGTGCTGTTTTGATATTGTTTGCTAATTGGCAGGTAGTCAAGCAAATGCAAGTTGCCAAGAGCTCTGATATTTTTTAAAAAGAAATTTTTTTGTAAAGATCAGACAACACACTATCTTTTCAATGAAAAAAAAGCAATAATGATCCATAAATACTATAAGGCACTTTTAACAGATTGTTTATAGAGTGATTTTACTAGACAGAATTTAATAAAAAAAAACTCAAATTGTAGGTTTATGCTATAAAAAAAAATGAGGCACTTCAGAAGTCTCTGAAAGCAAAAACTATCCAGTGTTATCTAAAATTTAATCTGAGCACATCAAGAATTTTTCAGTATCGTGATATTAGAAAATTTAGGGGAAATAGTTGACATATTTTATATCCTATTATGTTTAATGCAGTCCAATCACAAAAGGAAAGAATTAAGTTTTATATTAGAAGCATGATAAAAGGGGCAGTTCACAATTTTCACCTTTCAGAAACAAATTTGCTGCACAAAACATCACCATCGTGATTTTAAAAAATATTTTACATGTGAATGCTATGTAAGAAATTTGTTAAAGGAAAAACTTCTTACCATATAAGGAAGCAGTGAAAGAACTGGCTTTTTTTTTTTAGCTTTATTTATTAATCCATATTATTTGATTACTGTATTAGAATTTCATAAGCAATAATTAAATGTGTCTTTATAGATATTTCAGGAATGTATACATATTGTGAGTAATGCTTTCAAAAGTTATGAAAATCATGAACTACCCCAGAATTGAACTGTTGTACTTCCAAAGAGAATTGGGCTGTCTATAATGATTTTAATAGAGAACGATCCCAGGGATCAGTCCTCATTGGTCTTGTTTGATAATGTGGGCATCCACAAACAAGCAAACAAATAACAAACAAAATCTGTAAATGTTCCTTTGTAAAACTTGTAAATTTTATTTATACTGTCTTGTTTTGTACACACATTTCTCTGTAGTGGGCTCTGAATACATTGAAAATGCACTATATTTTTCTATTTTACTTACAGAGCATCACAGAAAAACAGGTATTTTCAGTGCTACATAATGTGTTTTCCCACATTTAGGACCAAAGATGGCTATAGAAAAACTCAAATGGATTGCTTCCCAAGCCCCTCCCCACCTTTTTTTTTTTTTTCGTTTAAATCACTGTACAGTGTTACTTGATGTTTTAATTTATTTTTTGATTGACTAGAAAAATCATTTTAATTTCACTAAAATGCTTTTTGTCCCTGAGGAAAAATAATCTGTAAAGTAATTTTAATTAGCATAATACAGTCACCTAGACACTTCCATTTGTAATCTTTGTAATAGACTGTAAATATATTTTTGGAACTATAACACAATGTGCTTGAGGGTTATTTTTCAGTGTCTGCAGTGTATACAAGTGTTTATACTAAGTACAGCACTTTACAATTCTAATCAGTAGCATTGGCCTTTGTGAGAATGAGTGAAAGAGTTTGAGTGAGTGTTCTTAATTCCGTTTGGATTCTAGACTCACTAATAATGAAGTTCTTTTCTTGTTCATAGCTTAAGGTGCTTATTTTTTCTATTAAAATTAAATTAACAAAAAAGCCATTCTAGAAATAGAAGACATAGTATGGTACATGCAAACGGTGTCTTTCCTGCTTTTTTCTAGCACTAGATTTATAGTTGAGTAGTCTTTCTTGAGTAGAAGGGCAGAATAAAAGTTTTTTTTGATTTTTTTTCAAAAATAACTTTTTTCTTCAGCAATATACCTCATCTGCCTTAAATTTTTTACAGCTCTTTACAGGGAAAGGGGAGAAGGGATGGGAAAGACACACAGCACAATAGGAAGTGTATGATTATATCACTCTCTCGTTTGTAGGTTTCTTTTCCCGATTAACATTATGATTTTGAAATACATGTATGTGAACAGATATTCAGAGAAAAAGAATTAACATTGTAATGCTGATTGTAATATTCTCTTCCAGAAAGAGATGACATGGTATAATGATAAGAATGTACAACTTGCACCTTGAAATCTTTTTTTGATAAATTAGTGCTCAGGGGAGGAAAGGTAGAGAAAGCAAACGTCAAAAACAGAATTCAAAAATTATAAAAATGCAAATGAAAATGGCCTCCTTGCTTTAATAGAGCCACCTTTTTTAGAACGCTGTCTTCACACTTGACTTGTGTTTTGCATTCAGTACTGAAATAAAAGTAACTTTATTACATCTGAATCTAACATTTTCTCAGCAATTGACTTGGGCCTTGTTTACTAGAACTGGTGGTTTATGCTTGTCAGAGCACTCTTAGTTAAATCATATTGTATACTTATGTAATCTACATTAGCTAGTACTATTTAGGACTATATTTTAATTGCTCCTCTTATCTGTGTTTTTAAGACAATTAAAATGGTGTGACTCACCTCTTTTTTATTTAGGTAATGCTGATATTCTCCCTTTTGTTTCCTGAGTAGCCTGGAACTATGCTACTCGCTGATGTGCATGTTCAAATAAATTACTGATGTGTATTTTTTTGCTATATGTGGAGAAATCATGGGGAACTCGGGGCGAGATGTGCTTTTTGTTGGTTGAATTTGTCCCTCCTTGCCTAAGAACTACTACAGGGGTCATCCTTTTATAAGGACAAACTGCTTTTGAACAGTGTCTTCAATGTATCAAGCACAAATAACTCTTTCTTCAACACGAATCATAAGTCTCTTTTTACCAGCTTAAAATAATAAACGAGTCTATTAGACAATGTAAAAGAAAATCCTGTCTCCAATCATTGGTGGATTGTTTATGTCCCTTATTCATTCTTTATGTTTTTATGCAATATCTTGAAGGGAGATGTTTTTATGCTTATTCTGAAGTATTTCAGTAGACCAATCAAAATCTGAAGAAAATTACTATTACTGAGGGGATGGGTCTCCTCCGCATCGTCTTGCAAAATGATTTAATTCCACTGCAATTACTGTAGAATTACAAACTCAGTCTTCAGAGGGACATACTGTCAAACACTTTGGTTCCTGTTTGAAACTAAAACTACATGATATTAACAAGAATATTTGCATGGAAGAGGAAATATTTAAAAAGTGGATCCTGACAAATATTTTCAACATATGTTATAATGCACCAGCATGGAAAATCGTAGCATTTCAGGGTTGCAAGATGCAAACACAGCTTGTAAGGCAAATGTAAAAGGGATCCCTCCGGCTGCCTGACTAAATGGTTTCCACTGACACTGACTCTGTGATCAACTTGAACCTAAAAGGAAAACTGAGCCCTCCCTATTCTACAGCCTCACCACCTCAAGTTCCACAACTTTTTAACAAAATCCAGAAGTTCCATGAAGTGTGTGCCGGCAGGTAGTTGAAGGGGTTATCACACATGAGGCTCAGACACAGATGGCTAACACAAAATTTAAAGGTAATTTTCAAGGATTGGTAACCCTTCCTGTCCTGGATACATGTATTTATGGACAATATGGTGGTCAAAAATACAAGACGTGAATGAGAGGAAATAAGAAACACTATTGCTAAGTTCACATAGTAATAATTATATATACCTGAATCACCAAGGGGCAGCCAAATGAATGCTTAAATATTAGATTCATAGTTGGTACAAGAACACACTATGCTGGGCCTCCCTGGTGGCATGGGGGGTAAGTATCTGCTACCACCACAAAGACCCTATGCTGTTAGGCCAGAGTTCCATCCTGAGCCAGTATCTAATCCACATGTTAAATCATATTGCCCTTTTTACTAGCTGCTCCCCTTAGCGTGTATTTCAGTAGATTTGTGAGTTCTCTTCGCACTCTGACTGGTGAAACTTGCTCTCTCACGCACATACACACACTGACACACACAATCACACCAACATGCACAAACACCCCCTAGTCACCTCTGGCCCACACCCCAGTTTTTCTGTGCAAAAAAATAAGTGAATAAAATCTCTAAAAAAAAAAATGCACTACCCTGCCAACATTCTTTTTCCTTCAAAATTCCAAAGCCATTATTGTGTCAACACATAAAAAATATATTTTAAAATAATGATCATAATTTTAATATGATGACTAAACAATTTTTTGTTGAAACCCTTTGTTTTTTTATTGTTAGCTGCAAAGAAGATCTCAACATCAATTTTGAGGAAAGTTGTTCGAACACACATAAAATAAAAAGGTGATTGAATCCCTAAATGCCAAAGATTAGCCTATGATAACAGATCGGGCCCTGTGGCTGGCAAACTGTAAGCTATTCTGAAAGGAAGGGCCTTGTCCTGACTTTGTGTCGTCCCTCAGTTAGCCTGCCAGGCTGCTCTTCCTGTTCTGTGGAATACATCTTAATATAGCTTGAAGAATATGGACAGGAGAATAAAATATTGCAAAAGGAATGCTTCTGTGAATCTCATTAGAGTGAGGTACTGTAAGGGTGTATTTTTTTCAAGTTCAGTGATTGAATGTAATTAAATTTATAATTAAACAATAAAAAACCTCTTCTGATTGACCTTGAGGTTAAAACAAATGTAATTAATTGATCTAATTTAATTGGACCTACTGCACAAAGTTTGGTAAGTAGCCATCAGGAGCTCTAGTCTAGTGCTTTGTTAGTATGTAGCAGCATTAAATGTTCTTTAGGACTGCGAGAGCAGTAAGAATTCCTAAATCACAGGCATTTGATGATTTGGGGACAGTAATAGTGAGGTGTTGCT